ATAATTTTTGGAATATCCAAATCAAATAGTCAAACATGAGGTTAGGTCATGAAAAATTAATTAGAGCATTAGAACAAGAAGCACCATATTCATTCACTTGAGCACAACCTTCAAGTCATTTCTAACGACCATGAGTTATTACTTAGTAAGTTTACCAAAATGAACCAAGAACTCCAATTTCTTAAAGTGCAGCAAAAGGCAAGTGACACCCTGAAAAGAGAATTGAAAATAAGTTTAGAAACTGATCAGTATAAGAATAAAGAAAAAAAGATTATTGAACCCATAAAACAAGAGGCTAACGAGCTCATAGAAGAGATTAAGATTGAACTCTTAGAAGAAGACATTGAAATGGAACAGTATCAAAATAATGAGTAGCATCAGCATCTAAGTAACAAAGAAAACAAGAAAAATATGAAAATTTTCTTAGGAATTTACCTTTAGACTTAATATTAGATGATATTTTACCAAAATAAATTTTAAAAGTAAAATTAAGAATAATGCTACCAGACATGCAAAATGAAATCCTGAGCAGAGTATTAGAATCCATGAAAGAGTTACAATTACAATTACAATTACAATGTGTTTTGTATCAGTCCATCTTTGATCCAAAATCAGAGATGGATATTATTACAAAGATGTATCCACTATATATTTGTGATAGTACAGAGAGTTGTATTTGTAAGTCAAAGATTAGCATAGTTGTGGCTAAGATTAACATGAGAGATTATAGACCATGGCATTTTAGTTATGAGCATCAGAAAAAACATAATGTGGCAGAAGTTACCCCAGCCTTACTATTAGAGTTTGGCTATCTTGATAAAATATTCATTGATCATATTTCCCATCTTGATAAAATATTCACTAATCATATCTCCAAACTAGAATCATTTCTGATAACTTATAAAAGTAGCAAGAGATTATCTAGAAAAGTGGAAAGAAATTTGCATAAGTTTTATTAGTAATCCTCCATATTGGTATGTACATATGCATAGGGAGAAAGTTAAGTATATAGCCACGATTAATGAAGAGTCATTTAGACTATCCCCTATCTCTCCCACATAGGTGGACTCTTTCATACAAAAATATTTTAAAATTTCTAGGGATCCAAATATTAGCCTTAGATGAGTTTGAAGATTTTAGGTATGATATGATATTAATAGCAGAAAAAAAAGAAGAAGAAATATATATTTACAGTAAGTCAAAAGTCTGTTATCAGCCATATTGGAAGCCTCAAATTTTCAAAACAGGAACAGAAGATATGTATCACAAGGTAAAAGAAGAGAGAGAAAGAGATGCAGAACTAGCAGAAGGCAATGAACAGTATTGGAACAATTTGACAGAAGAAGAGCTGCATAACATCGACAACATGATGGAAGCATGAAGAGTTGGTAGCATATTAGCATAAGTTGAATAACACCATGTAAAATAATGTATTTCCAGACAAAAATGTCAACATTATTGTGGACCCCGCTATAATAATGAAATAATGGCATAAGAGTAAATAAAGAAAAGAGCTTGACCCATTATGAACTTTTCATACACAAAATGTCATTTTGGTTAAGAATAAATAGTTCTAGGCCATTTTTATTAAAACTCCCTAACAAAAATTCAATTGTTGGGTACATGTTTTTCTTCTAGCAAATCAAATCAACCTATACCATCAAACTTAAAGCTTAGTAACTACTACAATTACAACTCAAAGATCTTCAATGTTCCATAAGGGGGTGCAGTCAATTTGGATTTTAGATAATTTTAATAGACTTGTTTTTTAGTAACAGATTTGAAAGAATTTCAATAGATTTTATAATTCTATATGGATTTGATAGATTTATATGGATTTTCATTATAGATTTCTATGAATTTGTATGGACCTCTTTCATAGATTTCTTAGGATTTTACTCTTACAATATATAAAATGAATTTCTTTCGCAGTACGAAAGAAACATAAAAACTTAGCAGAGAGAACTTTGGTGCAGAAATTGTAATTTCTAACGTAAGAAAATTTTGTTGGGGGTTTCTCACCAAATATCAATATGCTAGAAATTGCATTTCAAAGAAGAGACCTGATTGGAGTAAAGCTCCAACCTTTAATTACCCATCAAAAGCTTCACAGTGCCACCTTACTCCTGAAACCAATATACACCACTAACAATCTACAATAACTTTAGCATACCCAACACTTTAAAGCAGAGCAAACTCATTGGGGTATAATTTCAATTCAATCACATATAAGCAAACCAGAAAGACCCACAATTCAGTCACATAATATCATTAATTAAATTAAACACATCATTCGTTAAACATAATCCAACATAATCTAGTTAGTAAAAAGTATGAATAAGCCAATTAAACATAATCCAAAATAAAACGAACAACTAAAAACTAATGTATCATGAGTTAAATCACATATCATTTCAAATTACAGCGTGTTAAATTTGACCGCTCTTCCAGTGACATCTTCAGACATGCATCCTTTTTGGTTTTAGTATCGAGCAAAGCGACCGCTTGATAGCGAGCAAGTTCATCCAAATTTGGAGTTTCCTTGATGACATCCCATATGGAATTTTGTCTCTCTCTATCCTTATCCCTTTTCTCCTATAGGCTATGGACTCCTCGAAAGTCGATGGCAATTGAACCGAGAGTAAGTGAAATATTTTCCATAATTCTAGCTTGATTAGTGGTCTCAGATGATCTAGTATTCCCTTGGTATTCGGTTTTGTTTCATTTCCTACGGTTGGTGATTGGTGGGGGAATCACAGAGCTAGTGGCCTGAGTGGGTAAGAATGGGGATGATTGATCGAATGATGAAGTTTGGTGTGATGCTTGGTTTTGATTTAGTACAAAGCCCCCATTTTCCTCATCGTAAAACAAGTTCTCTATTCCAACTTGTTCATCTTCCTCTATTCCACCTTGTCTATCTTCCACTACAAAAATTCTTGCATCAATTTCCTCACCCAATCCCAATGAGTGTTTTCCACTAGCAGCTGCATAGTATGACTTGCAAATCTTCAAAGTCATCACAATATTTTTTTACGAATGCTTCTTTGGTCCGAGTAAGTCTACAATATAAACAAGAAAATCACAATTGTTCAATAAACTAGAAGTATACACTCAAGTTACATATAATATTTTAAATAAAAGCCAAGAAGTTCACCCTAAAGTATTCTTCCCAAACTTCGTCATCAACAACAAATCTCTTTGTGTTTGCATCCCACCCAAAGCCAGAGTTGCTTCCCATAAGCTGACTATATTTTTCATATTCTTTCTTAAAACATCTTATTCGACTTGTGTAATGCTTATAAGTTTTATTACACTTTAGTCTTTCATTAAGTACCGGAAGTATTCTTGTTGTCACAATATCTTTGGTTAGCAAGCAATTAGCATCACGCCATCCACGCAATGTAGCTTCAACGAGCAATTGTAACAACACTTTGCTCACTATAATCACTCTTGGCCTTCACTTTTCCCATTTCTTGTTGTTCGTCTCCCATTTCTAATTACTAGTATGATGGAAGCAGTAGCAGTAACAAAATCAATTCAGGACGTACTTAACAAAAACCATTCGAATATATAATATGCAATGCGTTAATAAAGCAACAAAGCACCTTAATTAACCAAACAATGACAATGAAGAACTGAACACAGATTAAGAACTAAACCCAAATATACTTCTAATAGAAAAGAACAATTCTTGAATTCTCAGAGACCGCATATATTTAAGAAATAATAAAAACCCATCAAATTTATCCAATCCCCTTTCAATTATTTGGAGTAAAATATCCAAAGTTCCTCTCGGCTGGTTAAAAAAGCATGCATGTTAGCTAATCTATTGCATGTATATTAGGTTTTCTCTTTTCATTGCATCAAATGTATGGGTTTTTCAGCTATCAAACAGAAAAACAATACAACTGAAAAATAATCAACACAAAAAGCATGAATTCGGAGAAGCTAGGGATACGTGGTATTATATGTGTGTGTGTGTGTGTGTGTGTGTGTGTGTGTACATATGTATGAGAATTAAATAAGAGAGTAATTGATAAGTACCAATGTAGCAGTAATCTGTGAAACAAATCAACCATACAAGAATTAAACAAGTTGGGAAGAGAAAAGCAATACCTTGAGGGATAGAGGAAGACTGTTCCACTTATGTGATGAACGTGTAAAGAAATCACATGGGGTAGGGTTGGATTCTTGATGACACTTTGTATTTATATCACCCATCTCAAATCCCTCAAAATCCCCAACCATTAAAATCCTAATAAATCTTTGACGTTCTTACTATGCCTAGATTTGAATGTATTCCTTAAACTCTTAATCGATTACCCCTTGATTTGGGTATATTCTTCAAAATCCTCTTAAATCTTAATTTGACTACACCGTGATTTCAGAATCTTTTAAAATCCTCTTTTTAAACTTTAATCGACTACATCCGAATTTTAAATCCTATCAAATCCTAATTTGACTACATCACCCTAAACCTTTAAGTTCAACATCTTTACTTAGTTGTAGGCTTTAGCCAATACAAAGACTACGCGTGTAAAACAAAATCTTTTAAATATCAATATGCAAGTGGTGGTCCAGTTCAGTTTAAGCAGGTTTACAAGGGTTCTAAACTGTAACCAAACAAAATTATTACGGTTCGATTCAATTTTTGGACCATTTGACTTTTTCTTTAGTCAAAACCAAACCGAACCAGCCAATAGTCTGCACTCACCCTTATAATTGAGTGTTAAGAATTGGGTTCACTTTTTTATCGAGTCCCTTGCGTTTATTAAAATATAGATATAAAAATCATTTTACTTATCAATTTTTTCATATCTCATCACTAACACATATAAAATTAGAAAAATTGTGAGTTCCTCTTTACAATCCGTAACCAAATACCTAAAAATTTTGATTTAGATCAACTAAGGGGTAAGTTGATCCAAACGGCTACAAAACTGGACATGCGTATGACGTGGCTCCCAACAACTTTGTCGGGGTAAAAGTAAAACAAGGTAGGAAATCCTGGTAAAAGAAAAAGTGAATGAAACCGAATCCGATAGACTTGTAATTCGTATTAATCGTTATTCGTTTCTTGGGTCGTCTTCTTCCTTCCACAGATTCCGTCTGTTTCTTCTCTCCAATCAAAATTAGGGTTCTCAATGGCACAAGGTACGCTCCTCAACCCCTAAATTTTACTCCATCTTCGTCGTTTATTAATTTCACATTCCTGTGAGCTTACGGTTTTTCTTATTTTTTGAATCTGAAAAGGGTTTAGGGTTTATGTTCAATTTTGCTATTTTAGTTCATTTTAATTGTGGATAAGCATCTGAAACTTCAAACTCTACTTCCTGTGGAATGAAAACCTAAAACTTTTTAATTTGAAATCTGTATTACTTAGTGCAGAAAACAGTAGTCATATGTAAAGTAGAAAATGATATATTGCAGTATATTCCTGTGTGTATTTATGTAAAATGATTGTCTGTGCGTGAATGTTTTGCGTTGATTGTTTTCGTTTTGGTAGTTTTCATTGAAATGTGTGAAAAACCTTCGTCTCGCTTTGTTTTGTAATGGAGAAATAATTTATAGGTGAAACTTAGGAGATGAGAGCAAATTTTGTAACTGATTGAGGCTTAGACATAAAATGATAAAAATGTCCATCGGGACAAATGGGGGTTTGATCAATGCGTAGATTATTGAGTGTAATCATTTGGAGAATTTTTGTGTTTTACTGGTACAGTTAGACATTCTTGCAAAACGCGAGTAGTTTACTCCAAGGTCGAATTTTCAGGGGAATTAGCTTCTAATGTAGAAAACTCCATTCGCCTTCTTGCTTGGTTTGTTTAGTTCCCCTTACTTTATTGGAACTTGCATTTTGAAGCTTGAATTTACTCAAAAGAAACCCTCGGACAAACCACAAATATGGATCAGCTAAAAGAAACAGAAGATTGCTTAAGGCACGTTGCGTGCACTACCATTCTATTGTGTTCGTTGTTAATAGCTGTTTCTGTAATCTGTTGGCCTTTTGTTCCATTACTAGTATGAACTTTCATGTCTTTTATATTGATTATATTTTTTTCGGTATTACATGAATATGTGAATATCATGAATGAAGCCATGTTAGGTTTCTCAGGTATGGTCCAAAAAGGCTGTTTCCGATGATGTCTAACCAACATACTGACGTTCTTCCAAAATGATTGGAAGCTAGGTTTTTTTTTTTTTTTTGTCATTCAGCTTTTGCGTGAGGAGCTCTTACATTTTTATTTTTGGGATTTTTTCTTTTTCTCTATGTTTTCATGTTAGAATGGAAAAGGGACATGAAATTTGTATGTGAACATTAAATTGAACGTGTATAATGACAGAATTTAATCACAATCACGTGTCAGCATAAATTGTTTTGTATTTGAAATAGCGTGGCTTGTACTAATTTCTACTTACTGTTTCCATTAAATTTGTAGCTATGGATGTTGGAGATGAAGTGAGGGAAGGCAATATTCAGTCTCTTATCATGGATTCCCTAGAGTCTATTAAAAAAGGCGAGGTACTTTCTCCGGAAGACAATGCTTGGGTTGATTCGTGCCTGATTAATGAATTTGATGTTTTTGATGACAACTGGGATTCTCTGAAAGGTGCCTTACAAGAAATCCTTAATTCCCAGCCGCCCGAATCACTCAGCTCTTCTGCACTTGTAACTGATGGTTTACCCGGGGGAACCGACATTGAGATACTTCCTTCTCGTGAGAGGGCAGAAACAGAACAACTCCGAAGAAGAATCCGAAATGCTGTTCTTGGTATTGGTGAAGAAGCAGAAAGAAGTGGTGAAGATGATGATGGTGACATGCCAACTGATGAGGATACGAATAATTTGCAGTCATCAACTTTTACGGGAAATCCTTTTTTGCCAGGTTACAAAGATGACCCGAGAATGACCGAAAACCCTGAGTTAGGAGCCGATATCAGCTCCTCATTATCTGAGATGGAGCCTTCAACTAAGGATATTTTCAGGGTTTGGGATTTGGATGTTCCTGCGGAGGAAGACGACCTGGTAAAGCAGTTGAACAAGGCCCTCGAAGAAAGTTTGCCTCAATCGGTCCCATCAACTTTTGATGATTCTGATGTATGGAAAAGTATGAAAGTAGATTCGGTTGATGATCTAGTTTCTGGGATTGTAGATCTATCTTTGGATCTAAACTCTAGTTAAACATCTTATGTATATTAGGATTTCGTTATTCGTCGTGGTGTTAATAATCGACTTCCCGTTGTTTCACAATTTCACCGAAACACTGAAGAGTTATGATTGAGTTACAGTTCCAATCAAAATAGCTGTAGAAAGTAGAAGGGTTCCTGTTTGTGCAAATCAGCATGAAGGGGCCTTAACCACCCATCAGCATTGCACACCAACCATGAACCTGCTACTCGGTGAGACCCATTAAATTGAACCAACCTATCGCCGTGGTCTATGTGGCGGGGAAAATCACCAGAACGATCGGAGAAGCTGACCTCTAGTGTTGTCCACCGTCCATGTGGGATTCCCGTCTCGTCGAGCCTTACGTTAAACCGTAGCCATTAGTCAGTAAGAAAGGGGAATGACAAGCAAGAGAGATCATACCATAACAACCTCATATTTACTTCCCCTTCGGAGGGAGGAATCTCTTGAGACGAGTCTCTTTTGGACGCCTCACATTGTGAGCGTCATGCATTTGTCTGTTTGCTCAACTGATAAAAAGGGAGAGATATGATGGCTGTTTTTTACAAGGTGAGAAAAAATCGTCGTGTCAGAACCACGTACGCAGCCAGCCAAGTCAGCAGGTTATCGTCCACACGGCGGGGCGGGATTGGCCGGAGCACAGCAGCCTCAAATTTGACATCTTTGTTACACACAACAGTTATAAATCTAGAGAGTGAGTGCATGTGTGGCAAAGAGCAAGAGAGTTTTGCCAGAGGAGATAAGATTATATTAATCTTTGCTCTCTCACTAGGCTGCCGCTCTTTGTAGCTAACAATGGCTTCTGCATCTTTCCTCAAGTCTTCTCCGGTTCTCGACAAATCTGAGTGGGTGAAGGGTCAGACACTCCGCCAGCCTTCCGCCTCTTCGGTGGTCAGATGCCTCCCCACTGCCCCGTCTGGTCTAACCATTCGTGCCGGTTCCTATGCTGATGAGCTTGTTAAGACTGCTGTAAGTTTTACAACATTTTAGTTTCTATAAGACTTGCACAATATCATTATTCTCTCTAGAATATACACGCAAGAAAATCTGAAAATCTTGAAATGTTACCTTGTTAAAACAGTTCGACACATTTCTAGACTCGTAATCTGAACTATTGTCTATTGATAAGGTGGATTTTTGTTTGAACATGCGGTGCAAGTTGATAGTCTGATAACGTAACATGCTAAACTGTTTTAGCCACGAAAAGTTTTATCTTTAAATTGCACCTTTGCCTGTTGAGGTCTGAATTTGATGAGGTGTGGTTTTTGTTTTGGGTATAGAAAACTGTTGCATCCCCAGGCCGTGGAATCTTGGCCATGGACGAGTCCAATGCAACCTGTGGCAAACGCCTTGCCTCAATCGGGCTAGAGAACACTGAGGCCAACCGCCAAGCCTACCGTACCCTCCTTGTGACCGCCCCGGGCCTTGGCCAGTACATCTCAGGTGCCATTCTCTTCGAGGAGACTCTCTACCAATCCACCATTGATGGAAAGAAGATCGTTGATGTGCTCGTTGAGCAAGGCATCGTCCCCGGGATTAAAGTCGACAAGGTAAGTCATAATTTTACATACCAAGCAAACATTACTTTAATGTGAGCATAGTATTAGTACACAAACTTATGGTAGCTGCATATTCTGATTAAAACAACAGGGTTTGGTGCCCCTAACGGGTTCCAACGATGAGTCATGGTGCCAAGGTCTTGATGGTCTTGCCTCTCGCACAGCTGCCTACTACCAGCAGGGAGCTCGTTTCGCCAAATGGTAAGGATAAAATCTCCATGTTATGATGTTAATTATATTCTAGCTCATTAAGGTAGATCGATGACAATCAAATGTAACATAATTACTAACTCTGATGAACTAGGCGTACCGTTGTGAGCATCCCCAATGGCCCATCAGCTCTTGCAGTAAAGGAAGCAGCATGGGGTCTCGCCCGCTACGCTTCCATTGCTCAAGTAAGAGAACTGATATCCTATGCAAGTTATGATTTCAAAATTGATTGACTAATTGCTATTAAGTTGCTACTTAGACCACAGGGTTTTGTTTTGTGTCTAGTTAGGATGTGTTTCTAATTGAGAAAGTGGTTGCTTCTTGATTCTTTAGGACAGCGGGTTGGTCCCAATTGTTGAGCCAGAGATCTTGCTTGATGGTGAACACACCATTGAAAGGACTTTCGAAGTCGCCTTGAAGGTCTGGGCCGAGGTTTTCTTCTACCTAGCTGAGAACAACGTCTTGTTCGAGGGTATCCTCCTCAAGCCAAGCATGGTTACTCCTGGTGCTGAGGCCAAGGAAAGAGCCACCCCTCAACAGGTTGCTGACTACACCCTCAAGCTACTCCACAGGAGAATCCCCCCATCTGTCCCCGGAATCATGGCAAGTGTTTGAAAAACTTGATGCTAATTAAGTGTTTCTGTGATGAGAGTATATCATGTACTGATATTGGAATTGTGTTTTGTTGAACAGTTTTTGTCCGGTGGACAATCTGAAGTCGAGGCAACCCTCAACTTGAACGCGATGAACCAATCACCAAACCCATGGCATGTGTCGTTCTCCTACGCCAGAGCTCTCCAAAACACCTGCCTGAAGACATGGGGAGGCAGACCGGAGAACGTGAAAGCAGCTCAGGATGCTCTGCTCATCCGTGCCAAGGCCAACTCACTTGCACAGCTGGGCAAGTACACCGGAGAGGGAGAATCAGAGGAGGCAAAGAAGGAATTGTTTGTCAAGGGCTATGTGTACTAAGTAATTTGTACCGACGCTGTAGATGATGAAGAACACTGGGAAGATGATGATGGTGATGTTAATGGAAGAACCAGACATGCATCTCTAATGTGTGTAATGCTTTATAGGCATGAAAGACTATTTTTGTTGAACATTTTACGTACTTTTTAGCAACTTAATAAACTTCTTGATGATGAGAGTTAGCCGGTAGTTATTCAACCAGATATTACAATGCTTATGATTTGCATCTGCAGTTCATAAATTAACCTCAACCCCGAAAAAAGCTCGAATTTTTCAGTGATTTCTCCCACTCTAATTCACTAAGATAAATAGTCGAATCATTAGACTATATCATAATCTACCAAGATAACCTAGTTCGAATCATTAGACCACATCATAGGATACATCCCCGTCATGTGTTTCTCGGGATAAGCCTTCAACTTGGGCTCTCAAGAGAAAATGTTTTTCGCACATGTTGCATGAAACGGGTGCCCCACATTCATGGTTGTATGGTAGCACATGACGTAGAGAATGTGTGACGCCCATTTCATGCAACGGTTGCTGCAGGAACGTTTCTCTCCCTCATTGGATCGCCTTCGTGTATAAGCACTCTGGTAAGAAGCTAAAATAGATTTAGTAATCCCGATTAATTTCTCATTTGGAAGCCAAATCACGAGTTTTGGGAAAAGCAGCCAAATTCATTTGAAGTTGGTTCACATTTTCTTCCTCAGATTTTTAAAAATGTCATTGCAGCGCAAGACCAATGTCAACAACGGTATTGCATTTCGATAACATAAACATTGAACAAACTGTACTAATAACTCACTTTTCTGTCTTTCAAGCGATACACATTGCTTTCGATAATACAGAAGTAGAGATTTTCTTCATCTAATCTACTTTGCACAATGAACGTGAGAGACTGATGATGATCCAAAGAAAACAGAAAAGGTACAAGTAAGAATACAAGTGCACAGGTCAACAATCAAGATTCTGCAACGGTAATTTGTCCAGACCATCTGCAGCCACAATGTAGAGGAAGAGAAGGGTTAGTAAAATTCTCGGGCAATGATGAGGAAGAACAAAGGTAATCTCGTTGGTTCAAAAACATGACCAGACAGAAAACAGAAATACAAATAGATGGGAATCTTAAACAAGTTGTTTATGTCTACACTCGACCAATTTCAAAACAAGTAACTAATTTTCTCCCCCGACTTATCTTTTCTTTGATCAAGGAAACAGTATAATGGGAAGCCAATACAATCTCCATCTCTTTATTTCTACCAAACCTTTAAAGACAGTAAGGCTAATATGCAAAGTGGAGGGAGAAGGCGACCGCTCATATTCAGTTTTGGTTCAAAGATGTACCATGAGTCTCACATCATATGTGAAATGAAGAAAACAAATCCGCACAAAAACGACAATTCAAAGAGAGATATATGATTCATTCATAAAGCCTATGTGTTTGAGAAAATTCTCTTCTATCAAACCAGACTACTAGCAGTCAGATGTAAATAAAGTATACTCTGGGTTCCCTTATTAAGCTGACTTTTTGACAGCAAACAGATGACCTATACATATGTTATGTCATCACGGATTCATTATTGTCATCTTATAGCTGAATCTTCCAGGTGAAGCATACAGCGGCACACAGGTTAGGGCTCACCTATCTAATTAACACCAACTTATGTACTTGCTTAGAAAACTATTGCCAATTTGTAATTTTTTTTTTATGTCATTTGATTATATGGAACCCTGCCCTTCCCACAAATGCCTAATGGGTGCAATTTCCTTATAATGTCAACCATCTGTCTGAGTTCAAACTTATCATCCAAGTTCCTTGGGAAAAAAATGCATTACCAAGATAAATTGAGTTTTTTTGTAAGCCTTAATTGTAACGTTTTCTGCTAGCAATTAAAGTTGCTCAAAACCAAATATGGACTGCTTGGCACAAATGGATGGGTAGTTGGGTACCTAGAGAAAACAGTTTACATCACTTTAGTTTATTGACTCAAGTCCAAGAACACATGCCCACACTTGTTTATGTTGCATTCAAGAGTGAAAAGTATGGTAACCGAAAGTACGGTTCTTTGGGCCTGGTATAAAAAAAATCCCTCCTTGTTAGTGACCCAATATAAGAAAAGTGTCACTCATTTTCTAGCATTTTGAAAGCAAAAGTCTAATGCAAATACCCATGTATTTTACATAAACATGTGCAAACCATTGATCTGAATAATCCTCTTCTTCTCTGAATTTAAACATATCAAAGTCATGCTAGAGAATTTTCCTCAGCTAAAAGCAACAATTTAACTTCGCACAAGAAGATCTTGAAAACATAAAAC